AATTTTGATTTATTAATTAATTTATTTATTAATTATTTTATATATTTTTTATTATAGTTAAACAAAAATGCAGATTTGAATACCTCTCCTAATCAAGCTTTATTTAGTATGATGTATTCAGTAAAAGTAATATCAAGAATTTGTCCAAATTAGAATCATTCAATCCGCAATCAATATAATCTGGATCCTAATGATTGATTACGTAAGTCAATTTGTAAAAATTTATGACGATTGATTCGATTATATATAATCCAATTATAATCGGATAATCAGATAACTGGATTAATGATTATTCAGATCACTTAGATCATATAATGATTAAAAATAAAGCTGTGAAACTGATCTGTTCATTCACGAAACTTTAAAATTTTTGGTTTTCTTTCGTCAATATTATGAATATGTCTATGCTTCTTTCCATTAACTTTAAATAAATAATTTTTATTTAAATAAGTTTTTGGTTATACTTTTTGTTAACATTTTCCCTTATCAATTTTTTTGGGGTTTTTTTCCCTTTTTTTTGCTTAAAATTACATTTCATTTCTGAATAAATAAAATGTCTGACGAATTTTGAAAGCAATAGTAACTCCAACTGCTCTAGTATAACAGATATTAGTAGTGAAAATACTTCACATATTTCAAAAAAAGACGTAATGATGGTCTCAGAGGTTCCTCAAAAAAGTTTTATTTGAAAGTACTTAATGAAATGGCAAATTCTAATAGTCCAGGAAAGCTTATGATTTGTATTCTTAACGCTTCTGATGATCAGCCATGTAAAAAGATTTATGCTGTACTTGATAGCACTAGTAATGGTATTCAACATTTAGCTAGCGTTCATTAAATCATTGAACAAGAAAAAATTCATATAAAGGTAAATGATATTGTGTTTTTGATAATTTATTATATTTTTTTTTTTTGATAATTATTATATTATTAATTATTATTATATTTGATTTTTTTTAATATATTATTAGTCAATGAAATATGGAACTATAGATCAAATGCTAAAAAATCAAAATCAACGTCATTGGTCAGAAGCTCAGCAATTAATTGCAGATCACAAACTTATCAAATGGATTCTTTATTCTACTAATCCTATTGATACTATTAACGATACTTATCTTAATGAACTCCTTATTCATCTAAATCCGAATTATAAATTGCCAAATGATAAAAATCTTAGACTTTTGATTCATTAGACATATGATTAGACTGAAGAATCAATAAAAGAACTTTTAATGTCTTCTGCTAAATATATTTCACTTACCACAGATTTATAGACATTTTGTGCTAAACAAGGATATATTGACATAACTGTATCATTTATAGATTCTGATTTTAAAATTTATGAAATCTTACTTGAATTAAAATATTTACCTTATCCTTATAAAGCTAAAAACATTCGAGATAGTCTTAAATCAACTATTGAAAAGTAGAGTTTATAAGATAAAATTATTGCTATTACATCTGATAATAGACCTAATATGGTTAAGACTATATCTTATTTGGATAATGTTATACAAATCTTTTGCACAGCACATACATTTCAACTTGTTATTGGAAAAGCATTAATACCAGCTTTAATTTTTGTTGCTCGAGCTAAACGACTAATTCGATTTTTTATGTATCCTAAACAAATGGAAAGACTTAAAGCAACTCAGACTGCTTTAAATTATCAAAAAATCTTGGGTGTAATTGGTGATGTAAGCACCTGTTGAAATTCATCTTATCTAGCATGAGAGCAGTTACTTTATTTAAAAGATGCAATTGATCAGTTGGCAACTGATTTATCATGAAATCAGGATAATATAATAAGAAAGATGGATAACATCTTAAAAAAATTAATCTGATAGAAGAAGAGTAGAAATTTATGGAAGATTTGGTTAATTTACTTGGATTATTTGAAGAAGCTACTACTTTTTTAAATGGTAATACTTATACGACTCTTAGTTTAATGTATCCTACGATTTTTGAATTACAAACAATATTTAGTAACGAAGATTTATCAACAATAGAAGTTGTGGATCTCACTACAGAAATAACTATATTAAATGATGAAAATAATGATGAGCAAGAATTTATTGAACAACCTGAAAATGATTATAATGAAATAATTGATCCTATAACTAAAAAAATATACAAATTAATCAGCCAATAGATACAAGAAATGTTATTAAAAAAATCAAAAATATAATTATACAAGCATTTCATAAATATTGGAACATTCCATCTGATATTTCTTTAAAAGCAGCATTTTAGATCCACAATTTAAAGATTTAAATTTTGCAAGATATGAAAAAGAGCAGATTATTCAATTAATTCAAAATAAATTAAAAAACAATTCTACTAATGATAATATAATTCCTTTAAATGATAATTTAAATGAAGAGGATAATATTGGTAAATATTTTTAATTTTAAATTCTTTAAATTTTATAATAATAATAATTAATTTACTAATGCAAAATAAT